TCTTTCCAAACATACAGGAGTTCACAGAGATCACATATTCAGCTTTTCCCATAAAAATAACATCCTCGATCAAGTTATTCCAAGTTTTTTAAACCCAGACTAGTCATATATGTTACTATCACAATGCTGCATTCATTCATTTATCAGGGGTTGCAACAATAGAATGAATCGACAACTATTCTGGCATATGTTTTACAAGCAATATGTTTCACAGCCCATTACTGGGAAACCTCTACACTATGGTCAATTTAGTTTATTCAGTTCCCCTATAGAGCATGTCTTTGGACTGTGGGGTAAACCGGAGCACCCGGAGGAAACCCACCCGAACATGAGGAACAGATGCAAAGTCCTACAGAAAAGCCAACTGACTCGAACCAGCAACCTTCTTGCTGTGAGACGACAATGCTAACCGCTGAGCCACCGTGATGCCCCATCACAATGCCTTATTGATTTTATTTAACATTTAGTGCCTTATCAGACACCCGGCGTAATGTGGCGCAAGGCGTGGCGCAATAGTCTTTTGGTAGTTTCAGCTTGGCGCAAGAGTCGTTTTGAGGCGTTGCGCCACGCTGTTTAAATAGCAAATGCATTAGCGCTCATATGTGCGCCCATAGGCGTTCTGGTCTAAAAAGGAAGGCGTTCTGAGGTGGACCGCTGGCGCGTTGCTATTTTGAGAAACTAAAATAGATTTTTCAATAGACCAAAACAAACCCGGTCTAAACTCCAGTGCAGAGTTGCGCCTCGCTTACGCACTGCTTAATACGCACAAGACAGCAATTGGCAAATATCTTTACATATGAAAAAAAAATTAAATATTAAGGATATATATAGGATATAATAAGACTAGATATAGAATATAAATATAAAGGATTAAAATATTACAAAACATATTATTTTCTAGCCTACATAAATATTAAAAATCACTGCTTTTATTTCTTCATCTCGGGAGGCTTTGTTTCAGTTCATTCATAACAAATTGCTTTTGTATAATGTTATTATTATTAGCAGTATTATTTAATATATCCATATTTATATTTGTTTTATTAAAAACAAGCTTTGATTTGTCCACCTGTCAGGTTTTAGATCATATGGGGCACAGCATGTGTTTTAGGATATAACTCAGGTTTTTGAGCACACTTTGTTATTATTGTTTATTTATTCGTTTGCTGGAAATTAGAACTGAATTTAGAAATAGTTTTGAAACGAATATTTGCGCTTAACAAACAAAATTAATTATTTATAGACTAATTGATGTCTGTGCGTAAAGGTTTCCCTATCCAAGAGCGAAAGTAAAAGTGATCCATTATCTTTCATTCTCATGCAGTAGATGCTCTGTTTAACAGTTTTCTGTTTAAAAAAACTGTCAACTGTTAACTTTTTGCTAGTGAAATGCTCATTTTCTTCACTTAGACTTACTTTGCATCCTGTAAATAGCAAATGCGCTTATGGCGCGACGCAGCTGACTCTTAAAGGGAATGGGAGATGAGACTCTAATTAGTTTATTCTCAAAACACACCTATAACTCATTAAGAAAATAAACTCAACCCTTTTAGACCATGTGCCACGGCGCAAAGCAGACTTTCCGGTCCTTAAATTAGCAAAAATGTGTTCTGACACGCTCTGAAAGCGTTTGTGCCCTGCGTTTTGCGCTCTGCGCATGGACCGTCAAAATAGATCCCTTAGTGTGTAGCTATAGTTCCACTGCTGTTATAAATGTTTTTCTCAGTTCGTAATTTAAATCTCAACTTAATTAAAACTTTTGTAGTGACTGACAATTGTGTTCTGTTCAGAATGTTTGCCAATTTAATATCACACTTGCTTTTTTATTGCCTTTTTTCCATCTTATTCCATATTTTAGTGAGGTTTGGAGCTATTGTTATCTAACACTACAAAACTGAAACTGAATATGTAAATTCAGTGAATATGAATAATAATGAAACAATATGTATATATGGGCGGCACAGTGGCTTAGTGGTTAGCACTGTCACCAGCAAATAGGTCACTGGGTCAGTTGTGAGTTTGCATGTTTGCATATGTTCTCCGATTTCTCCCACAGTCCAAAGACATGTGTTATAGTGTAGGTGAATTGAATGAACTAAATTGGCTGTCTTGTGTGAGTGTGTATGGATGTTTCCCAGTACTGGGTTGCTGCTGGAAGGGCATCCACTGTGTAAAACATACGCTGGATTTAGCGGTTCATTCCAAGGGACTACACTGCAAAAATGCTTTTCTTATTTAGTTTTTTTGTCTTGTTTCAAGTCAAAATATCAAAAAAAAATTTAATCAAGGAGCATTTTTTAGACAGGCAAAACATATTGTCTTGTTTTGAGAAATAATATGCCAATATTAAGTGAGCTTTTCCTTAAAACAAGCACAATAATCTACCAATGGGGTAAGCAAAATATTCTTGTTTTTCCTTTTGACATAAGATTATTTTGCTTATCCCATTGGCAGATTATTTTGCTTGTTTTAAGGAAAAGCTCACTTAACATTAGCATAATATTTCTCCAAACAAGACTATATGTTTCGCTTGTCTAGAAAATTCTTCTTAATTTGAGAATTTTTAGATATTTGCACTCGAAACAAGACAAAAAAATCTAAGAAAAGCATTTTTTTCTGTGTATAAAGGGACTAAGATGAAGGAAAATTAATGAATTTACAATATTTATTATATAAATAAACACAAAAAAAAAAAAATATATATATATATATATATATATATATATATATATATATATATATATATATATATATAAATCCGTCGCTTCAACAAACATTCATAAACTGCGTCGCAAACTTGGGCACTTGCAGCTATACCTCTGGAGCTGTAGTTAGAAACGTAGTCCCTATGCCCTATTCATTTAAAACATTTTAACATTCAAAGTTGGAATTATTAAAAATAAAAAAGCATTAAGGTCATCTCTCTAGGGCGTAATTTGCTTTCAAGCTATTTTTTCAGTTCAGTAATAGCGATCTTCATGTTTACAATTGTGTGCCCTTCGTAGTGCACTTTGAAAACATTGATGTCATTTTAAACACAGCCTCATGATGAAAGCTATAGGTTACCTATTATTTTAAAGTGAAATTTATAGTCATTTATAGTAGGTTATGTATTAAGTATCTGTACTGTATATGACATGGGCCTGCTGGTTCGAACTTTCTGCAGTGGTTGGCATGTGTCAAATTATAAAAGTAGACTTTTCAAAAAATAAAAAATAAATAAACAATATCCTACTTAATATTAATAATAATAATAATAATAATAATAATAATAATAATAATAACAATATTAATTACCATCATCATCATCATTAATAGTATTAAGAATGTGTGATTTTTTTTTTAACAAATAATAAATATTACATTTCATTTTATGATAAATAACCTCATTATTTATTTATTTGTTAAGTGTAAGTGATTTTATGTTTTAGAATAGAATATGTAATGTTCAACTTCTCAATAATATTAGTAAAGCAAACACAGGCCCTAAATATGGCATTTACATATATTTCAGTAAATATGGACAGCGAGTGCATGTTTTTACTATATAATTTGCACAAAGAAATAGTGGGGTTCTTCTCTAAAGAAGTAGTTAGTCCACCCAGTTTAGAGCATCATTATAGGTGTTTTTATGTCATAACTAACGTGGTTCAAGCGATGGATCTGCAACAGAAAAACAACGTGTTTTGGGAAACACTCGTCACTACATTGTTCTTTTCCCAAACAATGCATCGTACTATGATAGTTCAGTTCATTACTAGTTAGTTCTAGTTGAAACTAGATAGTTTAGTACATAGTTCATTACAAAGTTGTTTGGGTAATGCACCCCTGATTGACTGCGATTGCATGTTCGGAGGAGTTTCACATTAAAAAAGTGTCTAATTTAATTGAACTAAAATTAAAGATAATTTTAATTAGCTGTCAAAAAAGTATAGACAGATAAAAAGACTGTAAAAAACTGTAATTAAAATTGAAGTAAAACAAATTAAAAAATGTTCATACTAAATTAATACAAAATTAAAATCTAACAGAAAATACAAAAACTAATCGCAACCAACAAAATTATTAAAAAACAGGTCCTTTAGAACCTATTAAAGCCAACTACTTTAATAATCTTAGATTTCTTTTGATACAAATACAATAAAATGATTAAAAACCACAATACTATCTTTCTAAAATCAACACTAGTGTGGTGAGTTTCTTCACATTTTAAACAGTGTTTCTTTCATTCATTCATTCATTCATTCATTCATTCATTCATTCATTCATGTTCTTTTCGGCTTAGTCCCTTTATTAATCAGGGGTCATCACAGCAGAATGAATTGCCAACTTATCCAGCATGTTTTATGCAACGGATGACTCCCAGCTGCAATCCATCAGTGGGAAACACCCATACACTTCCATACACACTCATACACTACAGCCAATTTAGCTTACCCAATTCACCTATAGCGCATGTCTTTGGACTGTGGGGGAAATTCTGGAGCACTCGGAGAAAACCCACGCGAACACGGAAAGAACATACAAACTCCACATAGAAATGCAACTGACCCAGCCGAGGCTCGAACCAGCAAACTTTTTGCTGTGAGGCGACAGGGTTCTCAAACTTTCAGCACAAAAATCCTTCACAGATCATTGATTTTTCCATGATGTAAATGTAATTTTTGTGTGGAAACTAATTTTTTGTGTGTGTGTGTGTTTCACTTTAAATGCAAATGAGCTGCTGCTACCCGCCTCTTTTCCAGAAAAGGGTGGAGCCTTTACAGCTTGTGCCTGGATTACTCCAACAAGAATAAACACAAAACATTCCCAAGTGTTTTAAAGCCTTTTCAGTCTAAACTCTCTATATAGGGTTTTCTGAGCAGCATACACATGACACAGCCATCATATGACTCCTTTAAACTATCCATTATTAAATTCCTTGAAGCTAATATTCCATAGTGACTGCCATTAGATGAGTTCAGTCCAGTTCACGGCTGTCCTCTCTGTCTGTCCTGCAGGGATTTCCCCATTCGTGGAATGCAGATCTACGATGGGCCAATCAACATCCAGAATTGCACTTTCCGCAAGTTCATAGCTCTCGATGGACGACACACCAGCGCTTTTGGTTTCCGGTTGAACAACTCATGGCAGAGCTGTCCAAACAACAACGTCACTGACATCACCTTCGATGACGTGCCGGTGAGTCTCATCTCATCATTTAATAAGACTATTTATTGTAATATTTAAAGTGCGCATGAACTGGAAGCTCCAACCTTTTTTTCACATTGTGATGCAGTTCCTAGAGAAATGAAATATTAAATGAGAAAACAGTGGGCGTGGCTTGTTTTTTCTGCAGCGAGCTGATTGGATGTGGTAAAGCAGGCATTTTATTCAGAAAGATGGGGAAAAGGGTTTGGGGAGAGTAAATACAACCTAACCGACACCTCCTCCTGCTCACCATTCTGTTTTTAGTCATAACTGACAGTAAGAGGGGCGTGATTATTAATTGATTGATTAAGTATGGTAACCACGCCCAATACCTCAGACAGACCTAATCTGAGAATTTAACTGACAGCAAAGCGTAACAAGCAACCAACAAAGCATTGCTGCAGCTCTGATACAAGTTTTACTTATGGAGAAAATTAGAAAGCACTGCAGCGTTTGAGTGCACTGCGTTTGTCTGAGGTGATTTGTCTAAAGTTAATACTAAAATGTGTATATTCCATGCAAATAAAGAAGCTGATTGGTTAGTTCTAGTCACATGACTCGCAGTGCGCTAGCGGCATTCTGAAAAGTTGAGCCCACGGCTGCGTTCAAATTGCCTGCTGCTTGAGTATATTTGAATTTGAATTTACTACACGACCATTAGAAAAGCATGTTCTATATTGTTTGAATGTGAGTGATATGAATGGAATTCGTGACCTGTCCGTATCAGTTGGCATCATGGGATAAAAGCTCCTTTCACACATACATTGCTGGTAATTTTCCGGAAAGGGATCATGTGTGAAAATACCGGTAAATTCGTTCTTGCAATGTTGCGGAAGAGAAGTTGTGTTCGCACTTTTGCCTATGGATGTCTCTGGGACAGAGCAGGTGCATGAATGCTAAAGCTTTAAATAAAAGTGAAACCATCAACAAACGCGTGACCCCGTTCATGATTATGAATACAAGTGCAGCCGTTTTAGAAGTCATTTCTGGTTAATGATGTCTGAATTTAGCGGTATTTTGGAATAGATGTGTGAATAGTCTTTTCTCAAAAAATTCCCAAACATCCTTGCCTGTGTAAACACCACTTTTTGAATCTACTGGTAACGTCGTTCTGGCCATTATTATGGATGAATATTTACCATTATCACTGTGCGAAAGGGGTTAATGTAGCATCCATTGGATGCGCACTTCAGACTCTCAGAAGTTGTAGGTCATCCGGCTACTTCTTGCTAGGGGTTGAACGACTTCAGAATTTTGGAAGTCGACTTTTATTTTATTAAAGTCGAGTCAACGTCGAATAGTTGATGGTGACGTCATCAATAAAACACGAGATAAAAATATTTAGCAAAATGCCACAATTTGTGATTCATTTGCAAAACAAATATATTCACATGCTGTTTGTACGTTGGATAAACAATGCAACATTACCAATGACTAATTTTAGTGCAAAACAAATACATTCACACACTTTCATTTTGGTAATAACGCAACATTAGCACAGGCTAAATCTAGCACTAGCTAAATGCAGTCAACACATTAATCACTGCACGTTCTTCTAAGGGTGCTTTCACACCTACACTTTTGTTTCGGAACGTATCTCGTTTGCCCAGTTAGCGCGGTTCGATTGGCATATGTGAACAGGGCAATCGCGCTCTGTTCCGCGCCAAAGTAATCGCTCAGAGATCGCTTGAATGAGGTGGTCTCGGCTCGATTGAAATGAACCCTGGAGCGGTTCGATTGCAGTGAGAAAGTGATCCGATCCGAGCGCGGTTATATCACAGTGTTTTATGGATATGTAATAGGCTTACGGCTATATGAAGAGAGAATTATGAGTAGGGCGGGAAGTTTCGCGAGTCTCCGGATGCCCGCAAACGAGTGATGATCTCCCGGTAATCTTGCGTCTCTCTCCCAGTCCTCAAATAGGCATCGTCACGCACCCTTCTCACCCCTCCCCACTGTGTCTCTCCTCAGACACGTCACGCGCGCGCACCCTGTCAATCACCACCAAACCACCACCTCTCCTGAAAGCTTAGCGGGACGCTGCAAAATAAACCCTGACACTCTGACCAATGTGAGGAGAGTTTACTCGCACGTGACTTGTTTTAGCTCTTTTGGTCCGATTAGAAACTTTGCAGTGTGAATACGAACCGCTCCAAGAGCAAAGAGCAACAATGTAACAATTTTAATCTCTGTTTCGGAACAACTGAATCGATTCACAGGTGTGAAAGCACCCTAAGACTCGATCAACATATATTTTAGACATAAACTGTAAAAGATATGGACGTAGTATCCGTGATGTCACCCATAGGTTTCTAAAGAACGCAAAAGAAGATACAAGTAGGCATGGCCAACTGTCGCCATTTTGTTCGCGCATCATCGCACCCACCGGGGGATACCAAACAAAGAGGCGAAACGTGAGTGGAACTACAGACACGTGCTAGCATTTTGCTTAGATGAGCATTTCTTTGGGAGAAACGCTTAATACTTAATTACCTGCGACTCATTTGTGTTCTGACCACTTGTGCTTGGTTGTGCACTATATCAATAAATTGTTTAGTCTTTTAAAAACACTGTTGTAATACATTGAGCCAATAAACATTGTTCTTATGATGTTTTTCTACAGAAGGAATGCACAAATTACTTTCACACACTTCAAATATAGTCTGTGTTAGTAAATCCAAGGCTGTTTATTAAATCCAGTAATAACACTGTATGACAATGCTTCAGATGACTGTTCTAGAGCCTACAGCTAATCAATCTCTCAGATTCTGGAGTGCTTTACAGGTGTAAAGAAAATTATAAATGATAAATAATCTCAAATAAGACGAGGTGGTCAAGTATATAATTTCACTCACCTGGGAAATAAAGGCCACGTATATGGTTTGTGAGCACAAATAAGTGCACACAGCATGCCATATTATCTGATAATTGTAAAAAGAACTTCCAAAAGGGAACTGACAGTGTAAAGCCACATAAAACAATAAAAAAAATAGGATGGTATATGCCGAGCTCAGCAGCTGATCAGTTGGAATCTGCTGAGGTGACATGATGGTGACCAGCAAGAACAAGCTGTCACTCAATCAGCCACGCCCTTAATTATGCAGACTTAATCAAACTTAATATAAACAAAACTGAAAAAAATTCACCCCCCTCACAGTTGTCATGAAGGATAATATTAGCTATATGAACCAAAATCGTTATTTGTACCAGACTGTAAACAACTTTTTTTGGCTGTAAAGTTGGCCATTATAACAGTGGGGCCAATAGAAATGTGCTCCATTATGAGGTCAGGACGAGTGGAATTTCGATGAATTGCAGTTTCAGTTACTTCTGTATTGGCTTCACGAGAGAAAGCAGGAGGTTGCTGCCTGATTTTAGGGTAATGTCCAAAGACATGTAGTGTAGGTGAATTTGGTAAACTAAATTGTCTGTAGTGAATGAGTGTGTGTGTGTGTGTGTGTGAATGCAGGGGTGTATGGGTGTTACCCAGTACTGGGTTGCGGCTGGAAGGATATCTGCTGCATGAAACATAAGCCAAAGTAATTGGTGGTTCATTCCACTGTGGTAACCCCATGATAAACCAGAAACTAAAGCCGAAGGATAGTTAGTATGGGCCCTTATGTCAATACAATGATATATCAATATATTGTGAAGCTTCACCAATTACCGCGACAAGAAAATTCGATAGCATCATATAGCCTCGTTCCTCATGCAGTGTCGGCTATCATCCAGATCTTTGTGGACCTTTGAGACCACAGTGACAAAATATACGTGGTCTCTCTTTGAGCGGCTTAATAAAAGCGGACGGGGTCACTGTCTCCGCGCTATTCCAGGAACTCTGATTGATTTTGTGCAGGATGTCAGAGAGGATTATAACATTTCACAGCGTCTTCTATCTGACAGAGTTCGTCCTTCCTCTGGTTATAATCACCTCTCGCTCTCGTCTTCCTGTCACTTCCAATACACCCGTATGAGGCTTCATTTGCTGCAAGGTCTAAAGCGCAGATCTGATTAGGATTGTGAGGCGGTTACACACTGTACGATGGCAGCAGAATACACACCTTTTGTTTATGATCATCTCTTTCTGTGGGAAAGCAACTTAGAGACATGAAAAAATGTTAGGAATTACAAAAGGAGGGTTAGTTTTCGGTTGCCAAGTAACACTGCTTAGGAAAAAGAAACATCTGTTATTATTGTGGCATGATAAAGCCAACATACTGTTATACTACATACACTTAATATCTTCTTCTGTCGTCTTCTTAAACTATTTTAAGAATGCATCTCCTCCTAGACCATTCATACTATAACCAAGAAACTAACTCCAAACCTCCAAACTATACTAAATTTTGATGCTATATCTTTTCCAACTGGTCCAACTTACGGTGTTCTGAAAACTGACCCAGAAAGTTCAGAAAAGTCCCATTGACTCAACATTGGACCAAACATTCTGACCTCAAACCTTTGCGCCAGACTGTCATACAGACTTAAGGTTACACTTATTTAACTCAGACTACCAATCTGCCAATCACTGATGAACTTCCAACATAGTAGACACCCCTGCTGAAAAATCCAGCTTAAACCAGACTAGGCTGGTTGGCTGGTTTTAGCTGGTCAACCAGGCTGGTTTAAGAGGGGTTTTGGCCACTTCCAGGCTGGTTTCCAGCCATTTTCAGCTTGGTCTTAGCTGGTTAGGCTGGGAGATGACCAGCTAAAACCAGCTTGATCAGCCTAGCAGGCTGGGAGCCCAGCCAAAACCAGCTATGTCCAGCTTAAACCAGGCTGGTCAAGGCTGGTTTAAGCTGGATTTTTTTAGCAGGGACACCCTAGCAACCACTTACGGCACCCTAGCATCTGTCTCATAGACTTCCATTATAAAAAACATTCCAGTTTAAAGAACATACTAACAACATACCAATTCATACTAACAGTGTACTAATCCATTCTAGAAGCATACTAACAAACATACTAATCATACTAGCCACATGCTAATTCCTACTATAAACATATTAGCAACATGCTAATTCATGCTAACAACATGCCAGTTTAAACTGGAAACTTGCTAGCAATATGCTAATTCATGCTAAAACCATGTTAAAACATGCTAATTTATGCTAGAAACTTGCTTGCAACATGCTAATTCATACTAGAACTATGCTAATTTATGTTAGCAACTGCATAGCAACTACTCAGAACATCTTAGCAACAGCCTCACAACACCTTAACAACCATAAAGTTGTTTTTTTTTTACTGTAACCGACCCAGACAAATATATCACTTTCAATCAGTGGCGAGGGCCAGGGTGGCTCTGGCCCACTCAAACTGATGGCTGGCCCACCCAGACAAAAATGTTTTCATTTATTTAATTCAATACAATTAATGTTAGTTTTTATAGTGCTTTTACTATGTAGATTGTTTCAAAGCAGCTTCACATAGAAGATTATAGTAAATTAAAACAGTGTAGTTCAGTTTTTTTAGAGTTGAAGTTCAGTTTAGTTCAGCTTGGTGTAATATTCATTGCTGAAAGTCCAAACACTAAAGAGCAAATTCATCGATGGCAGCTCTACAAGTACCGAACCAAGCAAGCCAGTGGTGAGGAACAAATTTCACCAATTGACGAAAGTTAAGGACAAAAAAACTCAAGAGAAACCAGGCTCAGTTGGGCACGACCATTTCTCCTCTAGACAAAATTCTTGTGCAGAGAAGCAGTATAGGCGCTGGAGAACGCTAGACATCCATGTTGGAGAACTGTAGGTGTGAGAAGGCCACCAGTGGGTGGCCCACGGCATCAATGCGAAACTTGTCTGTCACTGAGGTCTTTTAGGTCTCACTCTCTCTGATGCTCCATGACCACCTCAGCATCTGGTCAGGATACGGCCTGGTCCAGAGTTATGGATACCTTGGCATAATTCCTTCACAGTCCTTGGATTGCATCAATGGCAGAAAATCCTAAATAAAAAGCATGCAATTAATGTAGGGAGAATTATGAATGAAATTTAATAATGATGATTAACAGTGTCAATTAGTCATTGTTTGTCAAAAAAATTAAAATTCCCCCTCCCTGCATGAAAATGTATCTGTCCAACTGTTGCTTCACACTTTGGTCATACTAGCGCTTTTTTTCTTCAAAATAGGCTTATTCTGACAACGTAGGTCTAAATACATTTGTCGAGATTGCGAATTATGTGGCCAGAAGTTCAAATGGCTGCATTTCGTCTTTAAAATGAACGCTACTGGGCAGTATGACGCCATTCCTTTTCACGCTTACAAGCTGAACGCTTAACTCCGTGTGGTTCCAGAAAGCCAGTAAGACAAAAAATAAATTGACAGGGTGAGAATGTGGTCAAATCTGAAAACGTGGTGAAAATCAGGCTGCCCCAAGGACTTATTATTTTCTAGATTGCTTTTCAATACACTGTCAGTTTGGTTTAGGGAAGTGGGTGGTCACTGGTCAATCTGTGCTTTTGAAAACACTATCAGTTGGATTTGGGGAAGGGCGTAGGCACTGGTCAATCTGTGCTTTTGAAAACACTATTGGTTGGGTATTGGTGGGGTGGGAATATCGGTCGGTCTGTCATTCAGTCAGTCGAACAATTACTCGGCAGTGGCCTCTAGTGAATTTACACAAGAAGAGCAGGCGCGAAATCCACTCGTTAGAAGAATTTGAGATCTGAAAAGCATACACAGCGGCCTCTGGTGTATTCGCCAAAACAAAAACGGCAAAAAACATTGCTCCTGGGACGTATTTGGCGATTTCCAGAAATGTATATAGGTGTACGTAATCAGAATGAGCCTGGGTTGTTTTTCTTCTTTATTGCTGCATTTGATTGAGGCAGCAGCTCCTGAAAGTGAAACTGTCCAGCTGACTATTGTTACTAAACAAAAACTTTTTGGTATATATTAGCCGGTATATTATAATTATTAGCAAGACATATGCTAATTATTTGCAGATATTGTTACCTGACAAAAGTCTTGTTGTTAATCCCAAGCAGCAAATAATAACTTGACTTCTATTTGATCGTTTGGAGAAGTGGCAGAAAGTCGATTTTTTTTTTTTAGATGAATCATCAGTTGAACTGCATCCCAATCATCACAAATACTGCAGAAGATTTACTGGAACCCGCACGGACCCAAGACTCTCAGAGAAATCAGCCAAGTTTGGTGAAGGAAAAATCATGGTTTGGGGTTATATTCAGTATGGGGGCGTGCGAGAGATCTGTAGAGTGGATGGCAACATCAACAGCCTGAGGTATCAAGACAGTTGTGCTGCCAATTACATTGCAAACAACAGGAGAGAGCAAATTCTTCAGCAGGATAGCGCTCCTTATTCTTCAGCCTCCACATCAAAGTTCCTAATAGCAAAGAAGGTCAAGGTGCTGCAGGATTGGCCAACCCAGTCACCAGACATGAACACTATTGAGCACATTTGGGGTAAGATGAAGAAGGAGGCATTAGAAATTAATCTAATTAAATAATTCAAAATCAAGGCATGATCATGTTTTATTTTGGTAAAATAAGCGTTGTCTAGAGGCCTTTGCCTTTCATATAAGCCACTTCTGATACCAAATGATCAACTAGAAGTCAAGTTATTATTTGCTGTTCCTAAAACTTGAAAAGGCAACAAGACTTTTGTCAGGCAGTAGGTAGGCACCAAGGTTCAGAATATTTCACCAAGGTCCACCCAATTTCTGGCCTCGGCCCTGGTTTAAACTATTAATAATGCCACTTTTTAAAACCTTTCAAGATTAAAAGTTGCTGGAAGACAGATCAAGGTCCCATAATGCAATTCAAAAGCATAAATAAATAAAGGAAAAATAAAATTAAACATGAATCGCAAAATACAGAAAACTGCTAATTTAGAGAGATGTACGGCAGCAGAATACACACCTTTTGTTTATGATCATCTCTTTCTGTGGGAAAGCAGCAAAGAGACATGAAAACAAAAATGCTAGGAATTACAAAGTGAGGTTAAGTTTGCGGTTGCCAAGCAACACTGCTTAGGATGTAAAGTAACAGGTGTGAGTATAAATATTTGATCAGCGAGATAAATATTTATAGGTGGTTTTATGGTGATGTTTGTTTAATAACTCTGTGTTTTTTGCTTGGGTGTTTAATTAAACTGTAATCTGCAGCAGGATGGATTACCATATGGTTAACCTGGTTAATATACACTACACTAGCATATGGGTACACTAATATACACTAAATATGTGATGACTGTTGGAAGATTTTACAGTGAAATCAGAACCTTTAACAATGCATATTTATTGTTAAAAAGCTTTCTACTGAAATTAAATAATAATACATTTGAAATCAATGTTACTTTTCTGTTTACTTTTGTTTTGTAAAAAAAAGTAACAATAATAATTAGTAGTAATAATATGAGTGAGATTTAATACTAAAAAATAAATAATATTATTGGGACAATAGTAAATGTGTTTTGCTATTATTATTAATATTATTATTATTATTATTATTATTATTATTATTATTATTAATTTATTCATTCATTATTTTTTTGTGGCTTAGTCCCTTTATTAATTAAAGGTCACCACAGGGGCATTAACCACCAACTTGTTCAGCCTATGTTTTATGCAGCGGATGCCCTTCCAGCCACAACCCAACACTGGGAAACACCCATACACTTTTGCATTCACACTCATACCCTACAGCCAATTTAGCTTATTCAATTCACCTGAACCGCTTGTCTTTGGACTGTGGGGAAACTGGAGCACCCAGATGCTGGTCTTTAGAATACTTGGAGTTTTTATGAATGTTTATTGAATCATTTCACAGAAAGTTTTTTTTTTTTTTTTTTTTTGAAAACAGGAACTATTATTTGTCTGGCTCTCTAAAACCACCCCAGAGTCGAATGTGGCTTCTTGGAAAAATTAATTGCCCACCACTGCCATAAACAATACGGTCAACACGATAAATGAGTGTAATCTCAAAACATAATGTAAATCAGTGTCCTAATTCCCCATGCTTTCTTTTTGTGTCTGTAGATCACCTCACGGGTGTTTTTTGGAGAGCCGGGCCCCTGGTTTAGCAAGATGGAGATGGACGGTGACAAGACCACCATTTTCCACGACGTTGACGGTTCAGTGAGCGAATATCCCGGCGCTTTTTTAGTCAAAGAAGATAACTGGCTCCTTAGACACCCTGACTGCATCGACATTCCTGACTGGAGAGCCGCAATTTGCAGCGGACACTACGGACAGGTGAGATACTGAAAGTTTGATGATTTAATAGGAATTTTCTCTAAAGAAGTTGTTACCCTGCCCTGTAGAGCATTATTTAGGATGTTTTAACATTATGGGCCCTATTAAACACCCGATCCAATAAGGCCCATGGCATGTTTGCCGCGATTTGTTGTTATTTTCAGACCAGTGCAACTGTAGTTTTCACATTTTGCGCCACGTTGTTTAAATAGCAAATTCATTTGCGCCACTTTATGGATTCATGGGAGTGCTGGTCTGAAAAGCAGGTGTGTTAAGGCGCATTGTTGGCATGTTGCTGTTTTGAGGAACTGAAGTAGATGGCGCCATTGACCAATTCATTTTCCATAGTACTGGAATTTAGAAATAGTTTTGAAACAAATCTTTGTGCTCAACAAACTAAATTAGTTATGTAGGCTAATGGATGTGTTCTGTGGAGGTTCTGTGTGTTTCCTCACTCCACCAAAGTAAAGGAGTAAAAATTAAAAGTAAAGTAAAGAGAAAGTAAAGAGGCTGAATGGAGGAGGCTCATTCTTTATCTTTGTGCTGCAGATGGTTTGTTTAACTATTTTCGCACTAGTAAAGCGTTCAGTTTTTTCATTTACAAAGTTCGTCATGTAAATAGCAAATGCACCATGGCGCGACGAAACGTTCGAGGTTACTAAAGTAACCCTTCGTTCCCCGAGGAGGGGAACGGAAGCACTATAAGTGGATTGATTTACTAATCCACGTATGGGAGATTCGGTTCAGAAGCTACTCGTCTGAAAGAGTATTGAACGGGCCAATTAAGAATGAATTGTCAGCGCAAGCCTGCGCAGGTGTGCTGCATAGGCTTAATTAACTGAGCATATAAGCACACCTGGCGCCAGCTGACGCTATCCTTTTCGCTTCAGAGACTTTTCTGATCGAGCTTCATGACGGTTCCTCCTGCTGTCTACAGCCACTTCGAGCGAACGAGTGTCTCCCGGTCCAGAGCGAGTCCACGCAGCGGCAGACGGTCGAGCTGGGTTTCTCCCTTGCCTGGCGTCCCTTTTGGTCCGGTCCTCCAAGAGCGGTGCGTATTGCTGCAAAGCATCCTAAAAGAGCAACACAGTCGTGCAGCACGTCCTTTTCAGGATGGCGCTCCGACTGTGCGTTTCTGGTTGCGGGGGTTTCCTGGCTCCGGATGATGGGCACGATGATGGGCAGTTGAGATCGCGGTTAGCTTTCGTAAGAGAGCGAGCCACCCCAGTCGCCCCCTGCTCTGCAGCGGGCGCTCGGGCAGATCTGAGGGCTCCAGCGAGAGATAATCCGCCGCCCGAGGGCTCGCGGACCTCTCGCTCCTCCAAGCGCTCCATCCAAGCTTCGGGTACTGGGAGTGATCCGTCTAATCAGATGGTAGCTCTCACGCTCGCTGACACCGGAGATCAGATGTCCTCCGCGTCATCGGAGGGTGGGTTTTCATTGTCCGACGATGATCCGGACCCGCTCGCCCCCTCTGGGCAAGCGAGCGCCGTCAAAACGGATTCTGAAGTGGACATGTTGGCCGTGCTTTCTCGGGCTGCTTCGGCCGTCAGGTTGGAGATGGTTTATCCCCCAGCCCCGCAGCCGGACCGACTAGATGGGTGTTACGTAGAGGATCAAAAGGCAAAGCCTTCAAAGCCTCTCGTCCCCTTCTTCCCGGAAGTGCACAGTAGGCTCACGCAGTCCTGGAGGGCACCTTTCTCTGCCCGCGCTGCGTCCGCCTCCGCCCTCACCACCCTGGATGGTGGAGCTGCCAGGGGGTATGAGGCGATCCCGCAGGTGGAGCGCGCCATTGCGGTCAATCTTTGTTCGCGTGACGCCCCCGCTTTGCGCGGTTCGCCCCGTCTCCCGTCCAAAGCCTGTAGGTTATCTGCCTCCCTCGGAGCTAGAGCTTACAAGGCTGCGGGCCAGGCAGCTTCCGCCTTGCACGCGATGGCCACCAACCAGCGATATCAACCGCAGGCGCTGGCTGAGCTGCACGAGGGTGGGTCTAACCCAGGCTTGTTACACGAGCTGCGCACGGCGACCGACTATGCTCTCCGGACCACTAAGTCCGCCGCGTGCGCACTGGGGAAGACGATGTCCACACTTGTGGTCCAGGAACGCCACCTCTGGCTAACCCTGGCAGATATGCGCGATGTTGACAAAGTTCGCTTTCTTGACGCGCCCATATCCCAGGCTGGCCTGTTCGGCGACACTGTCGGTGAATTCACCCAGGAGTTCAAGGCGGTGAAGGAGCAGTCGGATGCGATGGGCAATGTCATCTATCGGCGGGGCCGTGAGCCCGCTCCATCCCCGGCCGAGCCATCCACCTCCGCTGCTCCTCGCCGAGGGAGCCCGCCAACGGCCGATGCCCCGCCTCCGCCTCCAGCGAAGCGGGCGCGTCGAGGACGCCGAAAGCCGGTAGCCCCTCCTGCCCAGGACGCCGCTAAGTCCGGTAAACGGACCGCGAAGCGTCCCTGAGACAGGCCATCCGGAGAAGAGGAGACTTGCTCTTTCCCCGCTGGAGGGCAGGGCCCATATTCCAACGGTACTTTTCAGTGCCACCAAAGTTTCGATCAAAGAGCATTTTCTCCCTTCCCCGGATGTGACAGCTCAAGCCCTGCCAGTCTGGGACGCGCTGCCTCTCAGCTCGCAGGGTTTGCATGCTCCGCCAGTGGCTCTCGGGCGCTGGAGGGACGGTCTCCCTTCTCCCAGCCCCCAAGCCCCCTCTCAAGAGTCAGGGTGCGGAGCCAGAGCGAATCGCTCTCCTCCAGCTCTTCTGCGGGACCCTCGCGCTCCCCGGATCAGCACACCCGCTCCGCGCTGCCCCTCCGCGGGTACGTCAACGATTGCTGCGATGACGTCATTAGCGAGGGCTCTGCCTGCCTGGTTAGCGCGGGCCAGCCCCTCACGGTGGCTCATACGCACGATCAGACTCGGCTACCAACTACAGTTCTTCAAACGGCCTCCCAGGTTCACAGGCGTGTATTTCACCAGGGTCAACCCCCTGTCCGCCCCTGTCTTGCGAGAGGAGATTGCTGCCCTCCTGGCGAAGGGTGCAATCGAGCCGGTACCTCCAGCCGAGATGGAGAGCAGGTTTTACAGCCCGTACTTCATCGTACCCAAAAAGAGCGGTGGGTCACGGCCAATCCTAGATCTGCGCGTTTTGAATCGCTGACTTCACAAACCGTTGTTCAGAATGCTTACGCAGATAGCACAGCTGTCTGTGCTATCTGGGGCTGCTTATTGATCATAAATGTATTGTTTTCACTTCTGCGCCATGGAAACACCGCGATTCATTCGGCAACTGTTTGATATGTGAATATAATTCAGTAAAAAGAATGCTTGAACCGTATGAGCACCAGCAAGAGCTTTCATTTGAGCTATAACTTGTACATGTGTCAAATGAAAAATATGAAAATGAACCAATGTAAAATTCCCAGCTCGGGATCCAAAATACTGTGTGTTTAAGTGTAAATAACTTTTGTACAATAGGATAAAAACCAAAGTGATGCATATGTGCATAAAATATAGATTCTACACTTTCAAACGAAACCACTTATGGGGGTCTAGTGCAATGCTAGCCCTTTAAATCTTAAAGTGAAAGTCGATGACGTCACGGAACCGAGTCCGCAGAGTTTAAGTGGCTAGTAGTCTCAAAAAATTCAAAAGGCTGATGGCTTTTTATTTGCATGTTTTTTATCTTTATTATTAACATGTTAACAATGACGGCCACTTTGGCAACCACTGCTGGAGACAATCGAAAAAATATATAGCTTAAGAGGGTTAATAATGTTGACCTTAAAAATTTTTTTAAAAATTTAAAGCTGCTTTTATTCTAGCCAAAATAAAACAAGTAAGACTTTCTCCAGAAGAAAAAATACTGTAAATAATTCCTTGCTTTGTTAAACATTATTTGGACAATATTTGAACAAGAAAAAAAAGAATTGTCAGGAGGGCAAATAATTTTGACCTTAACTGTAAGCACTGACTATAGCCATTGACTTTTGTTTGACGAATCACCAGAGTTTTAGCTAAAAGTCTTCTTTAATGTTCAATCAAAGTTAAAAAATGGTCTAAGCATGAGTCTTTTTTGTTTAATTTATTTTTTAAATATCATGTGAAATATGCATCCTCCTCCAGATTTATGTCCAGACCCGGAACCCAGCGAGCCTGAACCTAAAGCTGGTGAAGGACGAGTATCCGGAGCGGCCGCTGGAGCTGGTTGGAGCTCTGGGAAAGAGGAACCACTATCAGCAGTTCCAGCCGGTGGTCATGATGGGGAAGGGATACACCATGCACTGGGATCAAGCGGCTCCAGCAGAGGTCACCATCTGGATCATCAATTTCAACAGGTCAGTGCAGGCTGATCTTATCGGGAAACGTAACTGTTTTACGTTTTGTCAGTTTAGTTTAGTTGTACAAAAAAATGTATGATTTTAGAAAGAGGCACCAAACCCCACCCTTAAACCCAACCCTCTTTGGAGGAAAGTAAATCGTACAAAACTGTATGAATGAGATTGTACAAATGAGCCACCAAACTAAAGTTCTGAATTGCCATGAGATCGGGTTAGTCAGTGACGTAATATTTTCAAAATTGTATATATTGTAAAACAGAAAACCATATATTTTAATATATAATTAATACTTTATTATTATTATTACTACTACTACTACTACTACTACTACTAATGATAATGTTTTTACATAACTATAATATTATTTTAATAGTAACATTTTCATTAACTGTTTCAGTTATATAATATTTTGATTAATTATTAAACATTGTTTTGAGTAATATCTGAGTCTACAAATGATGAAAAACTGTACAATAGTATAATTTTAAAGGTTATTATTATTATTATTATTATTATTTGATGTTATTATTAAATCCTAATTGTAATTAGCAATTTAGAGCAATATTAATAATGTAATACTAATATGTTTCTTTGTTGATGTGTATGATGTGTTGATGTTTTAATAATTTCATTATTTTATTGCATGTTTTAATGCTATTGATATTAATAATTATGATAATAGTAATTTTACTACTACTAATAATAATAATTATTATTATAAAATAAATTGTATTATAAAATACAAACTAATAATAACATTATTGTTGTTATTCTAGTCATTAATAATAATAACTATTCATTTTAACTATAACATACTAACTATTTGATTTGTTTCATTTGATTAATTTTAATAATTATTAAAACATTGTTTTGAATAATATCAGTCTGCCAGTTACAATCTAGGAAGCTCTTTTAAATGCTTCTCCTTGATTGTTTAAAATTAAATTACATTATTGTTGTCCCAAATATCTGTTAATAACTACACTGAAATATTTTTTATTGCTTGATAATAATATAAATGAACCATTTATTATTGTATAGACAATTTCAATGTGGTCATGTCACTGGACCATGAACATTTTCTGCTTGTTATCAAACTATTTTATAATTAAAATAAATAAAGAGGCAATTCAATTATAACTTAATGTTAAAACAGCTATCATAACATTATTTATCCATATATGGCTTTTTCTGGATTCACGGGAGCTCTAGAAATAAAACAGGAAACGTTTGGGACCTTTATTTTTTTTATTTTATTTACATCCCTCACAATGGTCTATACTGTTTGTGACAGAAACACTTAAATCCATCTACTCAATTTTGTTCATTTTTAAAGTGAAAAGCTAATAGACCTTTTCGCATTGTCATTACTTTGTCTCAGTGGTTAGCACTGTTGCCTCACAGCAAGAAGGTTGCTGGTTCGAGCCCCAGCTAGGTCAGTTAATGTTTCTGTATAGAGTTTGCATGTTCTCCCCGTATTGGTGTGGGTTTTCCTTCAGGTGCACTGGTTTCCTCCAAAGTCCAAACACATGCGCTATAGGTGAATTGAATAAACTAAATTGGCCGTAGTGTATGTGTGTGAATGCAAAAGTGTATGGGTGTTTCCCAGTTCTGGGTTGCAGCTGAAAGTGCATCCGCTGCATAAAACATATGCTGGATAAGTTGGTGGTTTATTCCACCATGGTGGCCGAAGTAAAATGAATGAATGAATGAAAATGACTGTTGCTGGAAAACTCAAGTATCTGTAATGAACTCACTAAAATCAGGCGTTAACACACTTTTAGACCAGCAGAAAATAGATGTAAACCACACCACTGACTTTCTATAATTGTTTAACTTTCTATAATTACGTTCAGTCAAACTCCAGCAGCTTCACTATTATTGTGTCATATTATTATAACTCTATGACAGTAATCAAAGTAACTAATCCTGAATGTGCTTATTTCTTTATTAGTCTCATTTCTGAATGTTTACTCCGATATTTCAAGCTCTGTTTACTTCATTTGTCTCTCATTTTCACTCCTCATTCCTCCTGATTGTAATTTGTTTTTCCTTTCACATTTAATTGTCATAAATAATTATTTGTAAAAACATAAAGCACTTATTTCTTAATTATGCAACAATTAAAAACCAAATGAAAAAAAAATTAGAAATGAACACCATTTTATATAAATAAAATAGATTAATATTAATAATATTACTATTAGTAGTAGTAGTAGTAGTAGTAGTAGAAGTTGTAGTAGTAGAGGTAGTAGTAGTAGTAGCAAAAGGGATGTCCCGATCACGTTTTTTTGCCCTGGAGTCCGAGTCATTTGATTTTGAGTATTTACTGATACTAAAACCCGATCTGATACTTCTATAATACATAAAAAAGAATGAAGAAAAGCAAAGAAACAGATCCAGCATGTTCCCTTTTTTTATTTAATTTACCTTATTTTGACATTCAAAAACTCTGTTAACAAACAAAGCACTTCTGTAATAAATAACATCAATTCTTCACTTTTGAAGTTTAGTGCAATATATATATATGATCTCTCTCTCTCTCTCTCTCTCTCTCTCTCTCTCTCTCTCTCTCTCTCTATATATATATATATATATATATATATATATATATATATATATATATACATATATATATATATAGATCATATATATATATAGATCATATATATATATATATATATATATATATATATATATATATATATATATATATATGAGCAATATCACACGAGTAGCAGTGCGATATGGCTGTATATCGGCACTGGTGGGAGGCGAGCGATGGTACAAGGCCGCAGGTCGAGACTCTCAACAGTTTGATGACATAATTGTGTATATAAAAACAAAATCAAACATGGAGAGTCTCAAAAACCCTTTTGTATGAGGAACTACTTTCTTCCGCGTTAGATTAAAATCATAAGCTGACAGTTAAACAGTTGTTAAAACAGTTAAAAGCATCTTTTAAACTTTAGATCTGTAGTGTCTGCTTTTTGCTGGCTGTATGTGGGCAGACTAATACACAAAGGGTAAAGAGGCTGTAGGAGTTCTGATATTGCAGAATATCGCACGTCTTTCAGCCAATCAGATTTGAGAACCAGACAGAACTGTTGTATAAATAAATATATATATATATATATATATATATATATATATATATATATATATATATATATATATATAGTCTAATATAAAAGCAAATAACCCTTCAACAAACAAACAAAAGTGCCACAATGTTTGCAAAGCTTTTTGGAACTGCACTCCTAACCCATACTGTCATCACAGTAGTAAGTTACACAGAAGGAAATGTGTTTTTCTTAATGAAAACTAACATCTTCACCCTGTCAGGTCTGACCCTGTTTCTGTTCTCATCAAGGATGTTTACAACGGCACTAAAAGTTCTCATCAACTTTATAATACCTCCAGACCGCAGACATATTTTGGCGATTTCCGCTTCAAGCTGCTTCCGTGTTCTTACGTGCCAGCATTTAACCAATAGCATCTCTGCAACAAAGTGATGTCATGCCGCACACGTTGCTGCTTCTGTGTGAAGTCAAGAAAGAGGTCTAACTCTTATCCAGCACATGTTTTACGCAGCGGATGCCCTTCCAGCTGCAACCCATCTCTGGGAAACAACAATACACTCTTACATTCACACACACACACACACACACACACACACTACAGCCAATTTAGTTGACCCAATTCACCTATAGTGCATGCGTTTGGACTATGGGGGAAACGGGAGCACCTGGAGGAAAGCCATGCCAACATGGGGAGAATATCCAAACTACACAGAGAAATGCCAACTGACCCAACCGGGACTCGAACTAGCAACCTTCTTGCTGTGAGGCGACAGTGCTAACCACTGATCCACCTTGTAGTCCTATTTACATTTAATATTTAACTAAAGTTTTCTCACACATGTAGCTATTCACAAATAGTTGCCAGAATTAGGCAAAAAAACTGTTAAAAAAATACATTTCAGTGATCTGCACCCTTTCATTCCTATGTATGATCATAAATTCTGATTATAAATGATCTCCAATAAGCATTTTGGCTTTAACCAGTGCTTTGGCTCCCCCTGGTGTCTGGCATAAATATTCATAAACAATTACACACGTCTATCAAACTCCAGTAACTAACCTCGCCACTCTTCATTTCCTCTTTTGCAGAAATGACTGGATAAACGTGGGCATCTGCTACCCGAAAGGAACAACGTTCATCATAATCTCAGACATCCACAATCGGCTCACCAAAGAGACCAGGAAGACTGGAGTGTTTTTGAGGACCACGCAGAAAGAGAAGATGAGCCACAATCACCAGATCAGAGGATACTATTACTGGGAGGAGGACACTGGGTGAGAGACCACACCAGTAAACGATGGGTTATTTAAAAGGACAGTTTACCCATTATTTACACACCTTGAAGTGATTCCACCACTTTATTTCTTCCGTTGAACACAAAAAGAAGATATTTTGAAAAATGTTGGTAACCAGTAGTCATTGACATCCATACTAGGAATAAAAAAAAATGGCAACAACAAACAAAGTATGGTTATACATCTATAAATGGATTTTTATATCTTATAAAAGTGCAATATTTGCATTGTTGGCTGCTTTATTTAAAAATAAGAAAAAAATAAATAGATATTTATATAAATATAAATATAGTATTTTGTTTTGTATTTTTGTAGTATTTAGTGTCAGTACTTAAAAAAAAACCTTCACAAGTTTATGGTCATAAAACAATTGGCTTTTGCAAAAACTTTTATTATGTAAATCATGCTAGCAACATGCTAAAATGTGTTAAATCATTATCAACATGGTAAATCATGTTAGCAACATACTAAAACATGTTAGCAAGATTCTAATTTATGTTAAAAACATCAGGCTAGAAACATGTTAGTTCACATTAACAACGTCCTAATTATGTAAGCAAAAGTAAAAGGTCAGCATCGTGATAATTTATGTTATTCAACATAAATAAAATGTTTAATTATGCTACCAACATGCTAATATTTGAACAACATATTACATTATGTGAAAAACATGTTATTTTGCTATGCTATCAAAACATATCAAATCATTTACTTACAACATGCTAATCCTGTTAGCAATGCTATTAATTATCCTTACAACGTTAAGTCAGGCTAGTAACGTGTTGGAATTTTAACAATAAGTTAAATCATGTTGTTAATATGCTAAGCAAGTTAGCAACATGCTAGAACATGTTAGAAACATTCTAAAACATGTAAACAACATGTTAAGCTTCATGTTAGTTTACGTAACAACGTCTTAATCATGTGAGCAAACATTAGCATCACAATACATTTTGTTAGTGACATTTTAGTAAAAAAAAGTTCAATTATGCTTACAACGTGCTAATTATGTTAGCAACATAGTAAAACATGTTAGGGTTGTTCTAAATTATGTTAACAACATAGCCTAGCAACATATTAGAATTTTAGCGACATGTTAAATCATGTTAAGAAAGATGCTAATCAAGTTAGTAACATGTTAGAAACATTCTAAATTATGTTAACAAAACGTAAAATCAGGCGAGCAACATGTTTGTTAACAACATCCTAAACATGTGAGCGAACATGTTAAACAATTAATTATGTTAGGAATGTTTTAGCTAATGTTAAATCATGCCCCTAGCATTACTAGCATACGTTAAATCCTGTCAGAAACATGTTAAAACATGCTAGCAACATGCTAAAACATGTTAATGACATGTTTAACCTTCCCAGGAACTTGCTAAAACATTTTAGCAACATGTTATTATGTTATAAACATGCAAGCAAACATGTTATGTAAAGCTAGTAACATGCTAAAATGTGTTAAATCATATTGTCAACATGGTAAACCATGTTAGCAACATAATAAAACATGTTAGCAAGATTCTAATTTGTGTTATTAAGCAAAAAAAAAGCTAAATTATGCTACCAACATGCTAATATTTGAACATTACGTTATGTGAACAACATGTTAAATTATGCTATCAACACATCAAAACTTGTTAAAAACATGTCAAATCATTGCTAGTCATGCTAATTGCAAACTAAATATATTAGCAACACTTAAATTTACTTACAATGTGCTAATCATGTTAGCAATGCTCTAAATTATCTTAACAACATTAAGTCAGGCTAGCAACTTGTTGAAATTTTTAACAATATTTTAAATCATGTTTACGTAACAACATCCTAATCATGTGAGCAAACCTATTAGCATCACAATACATTTTGTTAGTGACATTTTAGCAAAAAAAGTTCAATTAGGCTTTAAACGTGCTAATTATGTTAGCAACATAGTAAAACATGTTAGCATTGTTCAAAATTATGTTAACAACATAGACTAGCAACATATTAGAATCTTTGTGACATGTTAAATCATGTTAATAATATGCTAATCAAGTTAGCAACATGCTAAAACATGTTAGAAACATTTTAAATTATGTTAACAAAATGTTAAAACATGCTAGCAACATGTTAAAACATGTTAATCACATATTTAACCAAGCCAAGAACCTGCTAAAACATGTTAGCAACATGTTATAAACATGCAAGCAAACATGATATGTAAAGCTAGTAATATGCTAAAACAGCATTGTGTCATATTATGCAATAAATGTCAATTAGCAACATGCTCACAACATTTTAAATCATGCTAACATTGTGATAAAACATAAGGGGTTTTCAGTTTCATGTTTTGAAGCTTAAAAAATGTTGAAGACTGAATTTTAAATAAATAAAGAAATATTCTTAATTAGTAAATCAGTACTCAAGATGTCAAGTGAGGATTTTTATATAATGTGACCAAAAGTGTGCAATTGCTTTAAAATATTTGCTTGTCTTGCAGGTTTGAGTTACGAATTTATCTTCGCCCAATCACTCCTAATCATTTTCAAAATCCCACAGAACTAAACGAATCCATTATAACGTCAAATTGAATCAACATTACCAGCATTACAGCAAATGGACTTTAAACACATCCAATTAAACATGCTTTTCTATCAACAGGCCTGATAGAAAATCACACTGAAGCAAGTAGCAGCAATTATAAGACACTCATGTTATGATAAGAGGATGGAAATAAAATAGATCAGTTCTTAATTTAACATCGTCAGTCTTCCTCCGCTATTGAAACATAATTGAATTGCAGAAATGAGTGATATCACTGGTTTGGAACTGTGCTGAAATTACCCAGGAGGCTAGATGCTAAATGCTGCACTTTTGTTAATTATAAAGTTTTGGAAGTGTCTCAGCTTTCAGACGGTCTTCGTTTTTTTGTGTTTTGCTGATCTCTGTGTTTCTCTCTGATGTCTGTCGTCCATCAGAACATAAGGCTAGTAACATGCCAGTTCACATAACAACATCCTAATCACGTGAGCAAACATGTTAGCATCATGATCCATTTTGTTAGTAACATTTTAGTAGAACAAATTTTAATTATGCTTACAACAGGCTAATCATGTAAGTGATGTTCTAAATTATGTTAACAACATGTTAAGTTAGGCTCGCAATGTGTTTAGAATATTAGCAACATGGTAATTTACGTCAACAACATCATATAATCATATTATCAACTTTAAATCATGTTAGCAACAAGTTAAATCATGTTAGTTATATGCTAATTAAATTAACAACCTGATTAAACATGTTAGAAACATTCTTAATTATATTAACAAAATGTTAAATCAGGCTAGCAACACGTTTGTTAAGAACATCCTAATCATGGGGATGTTAAAAACATGTAAAACATGTTAGCATGATAGTAAATCATGTTAGGGATGTTTTAATAAATATGTTAAGTCATTCCACTAGCATAACATTTTTAAATCATAGTGTTAAATCATATCAGAAACATGCTAGCATCATGTTAAACATGTTCACTACATATTAAATAATGCTAACGACATGCTAAAATATGTTAGCAACATGGTATCATCGGTTTGGAACTGTGCGGAAATCCCCTCTGAGGCTTGATGCTAAACGCTTCAACAAACATGTTACCATGATGATAAATCATGATAGACATGTTTTAGCAAGTATCTTAAGTCATGCCACTAGCATACTTATATTTTGCATTGTGTTATAACGTCAGAAGCATGCTAAAACATGCTCACTACATATTAAACCATGATGACAACATGCTTAAACATTTTAGGAACATAATATCGCTGATTTGGAACTCCTAAATCTATGTCAAACGCTCCACTTTTGTCAATTATAAAGTTTTGGAAGTGTCTCAGCTTTCAGACTAAAACAAGCTACTCATGTTAGCAACATACTAAAACGTGTAAGCTATGTTCTAAATTTTGTTAGGATCATGCATGTTAGAATATTAGCAACATGTTAAATCATTTTAATAATATGCTAACCAAGTTAACAACATGTTAAATCAGGATAGCAACATATTAAATTACGTCAACATCATGTTAAATCATTAGCTACTTTGAATCCTGTTAGCAAGTTAAATCATGTTCGTAATTAGCTAATCGTGTTAACAGCAAGTTAGAAACATTATAGATTATGCTAAAAAATCAGGCTAGCAGCAGGTTTGTTAATAACATTCCAATCATGTGGATCTTAACAAACATGTAAAACATGTAAGCATAATAATAAAATCATGTTAGGAATGTGTTATCAAATATAAAGTCTAGCATACTAGCATTTTGCAACATCTTAAATCATTTCAGAAACATGTTAAAACATGCTAGCAACGTGTTAGAATATTAGCAACATGAACAACAATTAGGTCAACAACCTGTTAAATCATATTAGCAACTTTAAATCCTCTTAGCAACATGTTAAATCATGTTAGTAATATGCTAATCAAGGTAACAACATGTTAGAAACATTTTAAATTATGTTAAGAAAATGTTAAATCAGGCTAGCAACACGTTTGTTAATAACATCCTAATCATGTGGATGTTAGCAAACGTGTAAAACATGTTAGCATAATCATAAATCATGTTAGGAATGTTGTCGCAAGCATATTAAGTCATGCCACTAGCATACTAACATTTTTGCAACATGTTTATTCATGCCAGAAACATATTAAAAACATGCTAACAAAATGCTAGGCATGCTCGCTACGTATTAAACCATGCTAACAACATGCTAATACATGTTAGCAACATGATATCACTGGTTTGAACTGTGCTAAAATGGCTAAAATGTGCTGAACTGGTTTGACCTGTGCTTAAATTACCCAGGAGGCTAGATGCTAAACTCTGCACTTTTGTCAATTACAAAGTTTAGGAAGTGTCTCGGCTTTCAGATATACAACAAGCTAATCATGTTAGCAACGTACTAAAATATGTTAGCAATGTTCTAAATTATGTCAACTACATGCTAAATAAGGCTAACAACATGCTAGAATATTAGCAACATGTTAAATCATGTCCACAACATGTTAAATCATGTGACTAATATGCTAATCAAGTTAGCAACCTGCTAAAACATGTTAGAGACATACTAAATTATGAAACAAAATGTTTGAAACAGGCTAGCAACATGTTTGTTAATAGCGTTCTAATCATGTGGATGTTAGCAAACATGTTAGCATAATGATAAGTCATGTTGGGAATGTTGTAGCAAATATGAAACTCACATTATAATATAATAAAAATATAAAAATATAAACTCATGCTACTAGCATAACATTTTTTTCCAACATGTGAAAACATGCTAGCAACATGTTTAAACAGGATAGCAACATGCTAAAACATGCTCATTACATATTAAACCATGCTAACAATATGTTAGCAACATGATAGCACTGGTTTGAACAGTGCTAAAATTACCCATGAGGCTAGATGTTAAATGCTGCACTTTTGTCAATTACAAAGTTTAGGACGCGTCTCGGCTTTCAGATATACAACAAGCTAATCATGTTAGCAACATACTAAAACATGTTAGCAATGTTCTAAATTATGTTAACAACATGTTAAATCAGCCTAGCAACATGTAAGAATATTAGCAACATGTTAAATCATGATAGTAATATGCTAATCAAGTTAACACCATGCTAAAACATGTTAGCAATGTTCTACATTATGTTAACAACATGTTAAATCAGGTTAGCAACATGTCAAAACAGGATAGCAACATGCTAAAACATGCTCATTACATATTAAACCATGCTAAAAAAAAAAATGTTATCAGTGGTTTGGAACTGTGCTAAAATTACCCAGGAGGCTAGATGCTAAACGCTGCACTTTTGTCAATTATAAAGCTTAGGAAGTGTCTCAGCTTTCAGACTCTGTCTTTTTTGTATTTTGCTGATCTCTGTGTTTCTCTCTGATGTCTGGCATCCTGTCGTCCCGCAGGCTGCTCTTCCTCAAAATCAAAGCGCACAATGAGAAGGAGGACTTTGCGTTCTGCTCAGTGAAGGGATGTGAACGAGTGAAGATCAAAGCTGCCATTCCCCCCGGCAGCGGCCCGAGTGACTGCCAGGCTGAAGCCTATCCCAAACACGCAGAGATGCCCGTCGTAGACGTGCCCATGCCCAAAAAGCTGCCCCGCTCCAGACTGGTGAGGAAACATTTCTGACTTCACACAGCACTTCAAGTCAGGTAGTCGGATGTGGGACGTTCCTGCAGGATTTTGCTTGAAGTTTAGATGATGTTGTATAAAGGAGCAGAGCGGCTTTTGTTCATTTTGCTGGTGTTTGATTGTCTTCTGGCACTCAGGCTTAGCAGGATAGATGATATTATGCGGTGCTATCGTTAGCGTTTGTTCTGCAGGTGTTGATCATCAGCATAATCGCAAGCTGTGTTTTTCACACCTGTGTCTGTGAACATTGTTGAACACTGAACAGGTTTTTATAATATATGTACTGGAAAAACATTTTATTTAGAAGCATTAGGCCTACGCATTTTAGAGTGATTGTTTGATAACAAGGTGTAATGCTAATGTCAGAGCATGTTTTTTTTTTTTTAAGGTTTTTTTATGTTGCATTTTTTCCAAATTTTTAAATCCAGCTCTCTGTATGTAAGTAGTGGGAGAATTATTTATAGACACATTATTTATTTAAATTATTACTTTAATTATTTATAAAAGGATCAGACCTATGCATTTTAATTGATTTGACAGTCAGCTAAAATGCTAATGTCATTATCTCTGATTTTCTCTTTAAAAAACTAAATAACTTAACTTTATAAATGTTAGCAGAGTGTTAAATGTGGTATGTTAGCTAGCAAAATGGCAAACATGCTATAAGCAAGCTAGCAAAATGTATAT